ATTTGAAATGGTATTTCAGGTCAGGTGTTCACAACTGTGATTCCTCAGTAACCAGATGTTCTCTGCTGTTCTTATTAAAATGTATTGTTTAATTTTAAACAAATGTTTTAAATTAGCTTAATGGTAATGCTCTAGGGGAAATGGATTTCTAAAATCATTCTTCAGGCACTGGACAAAACAAATGCTGGCCTACATTTTTGGAAAGGATGAAAGATTTCAAGTGCCCTCAATATTTAATACCTAAAATTAAATGTCATAGGAATGACATGGAATAGTTACTTGATGAAAATATGGTTCATTTAAAGAGGATTAAATTGCACATAGAAATTATCCACCCCTTCAGAAAATTTAGATTGTTTTTAAAAAATTAGAAATCCTGGTTTCATCTCACACTTTGCTCTTATATTGGTGACCATAAGTCTTTTTTTTATAGTACATCTTTTACTCTAAAATTCTAAATGCAATTAAGACTTTGGAAGATCAAGACTTTCCTTTGGCTACCTCAGGCAGAATTAAAGGTACCTGTGGTATCCAGGAATACTGGGACATTTGCAAGGAGATGCCAAGCAATTGCAGCTGAGGCTGTAGAGACCTGCTCTTATATGGGATTTCAGTTTCAAACATGGAAGCAACTGGGCTTGGACCAACCAGCCAGAGGAGGGTGGAAGCGAAATAAATTCTGGAGTGATGAAATTACTTTGGACAACTTAATGAAAAAAAATGCTCGGATCCCACTGAGCCATTAAATGATTGATTTCCACATGGAAGCACCCATCTCCGCTGAGAAGCCTTTGACAAAACTGTTTCTTTACTTTCATGTGGAACGGTTCTTGACCAAAAGATTGAAAAGACTGAGGGGAGAAAGGGCCAGAACGGGTTATGAGCCCAATAGACAGGAGAAAATATGTTGAAAGGCTGAATTACTTGCGCATTCATTAAACATAAAGGTAGCATTTGCAGATGTTTGGATTGCTTAATATTCAGGCTAAGTAAGTAAGTTGATGGTAAATCATATGGGAACACAAATACTTTTAAAACTTCCAATATATAATTTAACATTTTCTTTTGACGGTTGCCTTTAAGTCCTGATATGTCTTTATGTCTTTAAGTCCTGATATGTCAAGTAAAAACATCAAGCAAAACATCAAAACTAATTTCCCTGAGATCACCAGGTAACTCCCGTTGGCTGATTTGGAGCTCTGAGGTTCTGTTAGAACTCGAAATCCCAGTGGTCAGCATCAGGCGCAAGCGGCATCCCAAAGGGCTCTGTCTTAATCTGTTGAGTCAGCCAAGCTACCAAAACGATCATGGCTGAACATCAGAAGTCCTGCAAACCTTGGCATCCCGGATAACTATTTTAACAGTCAACTTCAGCTGTGTGCAAAAGCTGAATTTAAAATGTTAATGCTCCAAATGCCATGTTACTAATTACTTTTGGAGTTAAGTCTCCCCAGATATAGCCTTTTCTAAAATATTGAAAGAATTTGCTAATATCCTTACAGCCATAGTCATACTCCTTCCTCTGCTGCTCTTTGTTTCATTCATGCCTTCTGAAGTCTGAAATACTCCAAAATTTCTAAAATGAGCTGTAATGAGTCCAGAGAGAAAAGTTCGACTTTTGTTTTCTTTAAATCCTTAGAGATACATATCTAAATCCTTTCCCCAATTCTATCAGACTACATTAATTCCCTCCAGGCACAGTGTATGGTCCACCTCTAAGGTGCTCTGGTTATTGCTGAGATAAGCTGGTACAGACGCGTATAATCTGTTTTCCGAAGGCCGGTGTCAGAGCCAGCTGTTGATTGCACTATTGGCAAAGGACAAGAGTCTGACAAATTCTGTGTGCGTTCTGGGAAGCGAAGGTGCCCTTACTGCCTACCGAGACCCTTTGTGAGCGTAAGCCCAGGGGCCGGTTAATGCTCTCCCCGGCAGGGCAGAAGCAGAGGGGAGTGCAGCACTGGCTCCGCTTGCTGGGCAGAAAAGCAGAGCCAAGACTGCGGAGGCGGGAGCGGGAGCTGGTAAATCCTTGCTGGTTTAGGCCAACAGTAACTTTTTGCCTGGGAGCAGACAAAAATGGGAAGAAAAATTAACTCACTATCAGTGTTCTTATGGCATACATCGGTTAAGTAAGTCTGTAATGGGAATATAGAAAGTAACTCTAAAAATTGGAATATGTATGCTTTAGGGCTACTTAAAATGAAATCCTAATTCCGGAAGCTCTCATTCCACACACCACAGGCTCTAGCTGGGTTTTGCCACACACTACCAAATTGTCTCCACTTCTGAAGTACTCGTGCCAAGAGAGGAAACGGCATAGTAGCACCCATTGTACAGGTCCACTGCTTCATTCAGTTCCTGTGGATTCATGGCAGAATTAATTGCAAAATAAAATGCATGTAATTGGATTAATTAACAGTACATTTCGAGGTCCTGAAATACAGAATTGGCCACGGGGTAAATGCACAATGCAGGTTTTTCCTGCGAACAGAACAAGTGCTATTTTTGGCGCTGTATCTGTATCTCATCGAGGTGTGCCTTGCTTAAAAAGCTGCTAGGATAAGAAATGGGGCTTTGAAAGGGGAAGATAAATACTATAATTAGGGCTGCAGGACAACAAAAGGATTATTCTTAAATATAAAAGCATTTGAGTGAAGTTGCTTGAAAGATAATTATACCTAAAATTGCTTGCATGGGGTCTGATATTTTCTTTACAAGGACTTACAAGACTCATTGAATATTTATGGACCTGGAACATAAGACGGGATGAAATTTAAAACATAAATTCAATTGCAATTTATTGTGATGAAATTCCCTAGCAGTTGTTGCCCCAACCTTTAAGCCTTAATAGACAGGCTCCGTGTTGCAGAACGCAAGCCCATGTGATAAATGATATCAAAGCTGAATGCCCTTGATTGATGAACGCTGCCTGGTTTGATGACAGTAAAACAGTCCTGAGGGCTGAGCTCACCACTATTTTGGTTGCTTTATTTTTTTTTTTTCCTTAATGCATATATTGCAGAAGGGTTGTTTGTGCTTCTGGTATGGTTATCACATGCAAATGAGCATGCTGTTTCCCAGATGCAGATTTCATATTTATAGATTAAATACAGCCTGAAAAATCGTATGTTAATTATATTCTGAGGGTGTAGCAGAATTTCTCACTTGAACATGTTTTGTTTTGCTGGAAATAGCGCAAATTCCAGATCAGTGTATTTAGCTGCTTGAAGCTTGGTAATAAATGTATCACGCTTTAGAAAAAGCTTTCTCATCATTACTATTACTAATCATTTAGCATTAGCTTAATGCTTAGACTTCTATCCCACATTATGTATTTGTTTATTTGTTTTTAATAATCCGCATTTCTCAGAAGACAACTGATCCTATAGGAAGGGGGCTGGGAGGAGGGCTAAGGATCAAAGCCAAGCAAGCAGATTATCAGAGATACACTGGCAGAGGGGCCCTGTGAGAAGAGGTTTTGAGAAGAACAGGACTCCCTGCAGCCGGCTCAGTTAGCTATAAATGGTCTTTTTTTTTCCTATTGCCTCTAAAGGTCCCATACCACATAGGTCATGCTGCAAATCCGTGTTCTAGGGCTCCCTCCTTTAGTGTATATGTATAGTTTGCTGTGGCCAAAAGAGACACACTGCGATCCCACGAGAAGGCTCGCTACTCACTGGTAACGGAGACGTCCGAAGAAATATGGCTCCTCCTGAGGCAGCAGGGAAAACCCAACCGGCTGATTCAGTTGCAGATTTAGAAACTGTTCAGTGGTAGATGTTGGCTGGTGGCTTTTAAACTGAGAACTAGTGCAGAGGTACTTACGTCCCAGCATGTCCAAGGACACACCAGAAATATTTAGGAAAAATGTGCTCAAAAGGGAGCGTAGCAATTTTCCTCTTTGAAATTGGGCCAGTTTGGCCCTTGGGGACTGTGTTATCGAAGGCAATGCTGAGCAGAAGTCCACTACAATAGAAGGGAGGGGAAGTTTCGGAGCAGTCAATATACGACATTCAAGTTACTTTCTTGTTTACTGTCCCAACAGTTGCAAAACATCAAAAATAAAGAGGAAAGCTTAAAATACACAGTGAACTTCATTATTACAAAGAAAAGTCTGATACAACCACCATTCAAATCAATAGAGAACTTCTCACTGGTTCTTATGGGGGCAGGATTAAGCCTATACAAAGCAAACAGAGTTTCCCAATAACAAGTAGTTAAAAATACGACCCTTTTTTTTTCTTCTATAAATTTAAGTCCTTTGATGACCAATTATGGATTTAAAGATATGTCCATAACCACTGGGTTGGCAGGAATGATTAGTATGGACTTCAAGCACAGGTAAGTCTCACTTTAAAATAGCCTGCTGCAGTATATTACAATATATCCTGAGAGCCGCAAATGAGAATGAACAGTACCAAAATACATAGTAAATTGAAAATACCTTCCCCCCCCGCTTCACCCCTTTTTACAGCTCTCATAAATCTTTTAGTAAATAAGTAAATCACAGAGGTACCAAAGAAACTGGCAAACTAAGAGGTAGTTTATGTAACAAATCATCTCTGTCTGCAAGCACATCTTGCTGCTGCGGGCAGCACTGTGCAGTTCTGGAATCCGAAGCCATGTACGGCTGTCGGGTGCTGTGCCGACCTTCCTGCTCTAGTCCCAGGACCCAAGAGAAAATGCAGACATAGGACTGTTTGGCCATATCAGCTTATCCGAAAGCAATTCAGGTACTTAGAGGGTAGTACAAAACATGCCCTATGCTCCTCGCTTTCCCCAAGCATCAACACTCCCTATGCTCTTTGGCCCCTGATCATTATGCAGTCAACAGACATACAGACATTTTGATCTTTCAGTCTTAAGAAAGCTTTCATCTTAATATTATTATACTCTGTATATATAACTACTCTTGGCTTTATGAACATGCATGTGCATGTCACATGTACCTGAATACATTCAGATTGGTATAATTGGGAAGAAAACTGCTACTGCGGTTTGGTTAGGATGCAACATGAGCAGAACATTTGATGTAAGCTCTATGTGGTGGAGTGCTCCACTGTGTACAAGAAATCATCCTCCCTTTGAGGCCTTACAACAACAAAAATTTTGTGTCTGCTCAAGGAGTATTTTTCTCCTATGTGATGTTACAAAATGATACTGCTCCGTGATGAATTGGTACACTAGAGACAGTGTGCTGAATTAGATAAATTTGATAGTTTGAAGTAACAGGCAACTCCGGTGATGCTGCTATGTTTGAATAGAATAATAATGCATGTCTTACTATCTCTTCTAAAAAGAAACCAAGAGAAACCCAAATCTAATCACATAGCCATCGTTAAAGTGCTCTACACAGACTGCTGGGTATCAGCTGTAGTCTTGCAATTCACTGGAGTCTTAGGACAAGATTCTGATAGGCTTTTCTTTCACTCTCCCATGAATGATATTTCTTCACGTAGGCTTTGGCCCTTGTTACAATTTCTCTTTCCATAATGGGGTTATTCATCAAACTCTTGGACAGCACAACAAACTCCTAAAAAAGATAGAGAAAATAATAAATTAAAAGTTCCTTGAAGTTCTAATGGTACTGAAATAGCTTGTACCCATATCTCGATTTCGGTAAAGCACTTCAACTGTGAGCCAATATATGGAGCCATTCAAAGTCATTTTTCAAGGTCAAGTACCATAGTTCATTTATAAACAATGATCAATAAATAATTATTTTATATATTAATTTATGCACCCCAACAACTAAGACATTTAAAATCAGAGACATTCCCAAGGCTGCTAGGGCAAATATGGGCAACAAATTTAATGACACAAAAGTTGTTTGCCTACCCAAGTGTTAGAAAACCAGGCTGGTTATAAATTAAATAATTCACCTGGTTTCCTGCATGGAGGACAGCTGGCATCAGATTGTTTGATCTCAGCTCAGCTAAACTTAGATCTCGTTGCTACTGTGACATCTTTAGTTAATTTTATGGTAAGACTAAGAAACTCACTACATAAATATAGTCACAGTGTAGAGATAAGAGCAGGCATGCAGCAAGAAGCTCTTCGGAGCAGTTGCATCTGGGCAGTTACAGATACAGCAGTGTTAGCTCAACAAGCTCTGCAAAAAAGCCATGTATGAATTTCCTTTAACTTTACTAGGCAAAATGCTAGACCTTGCAGATTATAACTATTCCTTTGCCTGCTGCTCTGCTGCTCTAATTTAGTTCTGGGGAAGAGAAATTGTGAACTTCAAACATGTGAAAGGAGATTTGATGTCTGAACTAATCTATTCTGAGCAGCTGGTCTAATTTTCTATCAAGAGACAACTTCCAATACTTCAGCTTGATTACAAATGTACTCAGATCTTTGCAAAATAGTGTCTTGGTTCGGCTCAGAAAAGCAGACAGCTATTGTGTCAATGGAAAATTAAGATAATACATTACTACACAATTGGTAGTGAAGATCAGTGCGTAGGGACACGGGGGACAAAAAGGATGGCAGAAGGAGATACACTATTTACGCAATCTGTCAGCCATGAAAGGAAATATCACAAATAAGACCAGAGTTCATATCAACACTAGGTTAACGAGAAAACTATACTTGAAAGCCTAAGTACACAGTGTATATAAATATATACACAGATATAAACTTTTTGGTTACCACAGAATCAATGTTGCTGTTGTAATGCAAGTGATGGCTATGCATAATACATAACTATAACCTGACCCCTGGGAAACACTGATATGTGAAATCACATCGAACATGTTATAATCGCTGCTTTGACTCTCACTGACAAGACAAACTATCAATATATGCATCACTGCCATGAAATTTAAACAGTCAGAGATGCACGTCAGTTCTGTTGGAAAGGTTTGTAACTAGGTAATAGAGTAAGAGGATTTTCATACATGCATATTAACGATAACCTCTTATTTTACATAAAATCAGTACTGCTTGTAATCTTTGCTCTGTCCGCACAGCACTGAAAGGGCGGCCTCTGGAAGAGCCACGAGGGCCACATGTGTCACATCCAGCCTGCTTTCTGACCACAAGGACCTTCCATTCGGGTATGTGCTAATTTATCTGGTGTATTCAGGTCCTTCCTTGGGACCCACGTGCTCTGAAGAGGGTGTTTCCTGACTGCTCGTGCAGCTGTCCCTGGAGGAGATAGGTGAGTCTGGTCTAGAGCACCCTGAGGCTGCGGCTATCAGGCGCTGCAGATACAGCCCATGACTCCAACTTCAGAGACACGTTCTTTTCCTTCCTCCCTGTCTGCCAAGAATACAGAACAGGGAAGGTGGGAAAGTCTTACGTGACTTATGCTGGCATCATCCAATTGCCTGTATAATCGCAGTAATAAATACCGTTCACACTGAACTACATTCCAACTTTAATTTTATGCTCCTGTGGAGGATTTTATTTAAAGTAATGTTTAAAAATAATTTATGTAAATTACCTAAGAACAGAGGCAGCAATGTAACATTTCTTGACAGGTAGTCCTATTAGCATTCTTTTAAAATGTGGATATAGAGGACAAAAACTTGGAAACATGTAAATGATAGAAGAAATGAGATCCTTATTCACAGTTACAATACTTATTGCTGGGGATAATTTCAGGAAAATGCCAAACTGAGTCCAAAGCATAAAAGCTGAGAAACTGCAGGAGGGAGAAATAGCAAATGGAAAAATACCAGGAAGCAGAGAATAAGGACTTCTCAGCTTTATCCCTACTTCTACTAATCAAATGTGACCACCTACAAGTCACTTGCAATCTGACTGGAAGCCAATGGGAAGATTCATTATGACTTATCTGGGTTTTGCCTCACACTCTTTGAGCAGCTGGATTAGCTTGTTTTCAGTTTCGGACACTCAGCTTTAGGTAGAAATAACTTCATTTTTCAGGTGCCTCCCTTAACTCCAACTGACTTGCATTTCAGTTGTAGTTTTGTGGTAAGTCTGAAGCATGGGCTCCCACTTGCAGAATGCAGACAGTCAGAACTCGGAGCTCCTTCAGAAAATTGAGCATTTAATTTTTCTTTTCTAGAAGCCCACAATATACAAACTACTTACGGTGTAATAACATGTCTCTGTATCAGCTGTTATGCTTTAAGTATTAAGTGATATTTGCACAAATATTTGTGCACTCATATTTTATTGTAGATGTGAAGTAAGCTTCATTTTTCGTGAAAGGGGGCAAAATTCACAAATTACTTTTCAATTATCAAACATAAGGGTATGCACTTCAGCAGCCAAAATGAAGGAGGTGCTATGCATGCTAACTTACTACTTGGGGGACATCCGTATTTCTAATAAGCCTTTTGTCCACATACAGAAATGGGTATAATTACTATATATGCGACAGAAAAACACAGTGTATAAGTTGAACCTCAGTAGTTAGCCACAACTCAGAAAGAACAGGGGAGAAGATCATCTTATGTACATCCAGAACTGATATTACACATGCCCTTTTTATGGGTAGTACTTCAAATACAGGCATTTTTCAACAGCCACATCCCTAATATATTTTTCTCCTGGTAAATTGACCAGTCATCTTTAAAGAAAATGTCAGCTTCTCTATATAGTACCTAAAAGAAATTCTCTATAATATTTTGCAGAGACCCAGAAATACAGGTATCTGGGAGATAAAGCTAGAAAATGAGTGCATGAGTAAAAAGAGTGAATGTTCCTTCAATTACCATGAGAACTACACCGGTGCCGCGGCTCACGCGTAATGAAAATAAGATGCATGGTTAATATATTATTTATATAATGAAAGTAACCATTTCATATCAGCTTCAGCAGATAAAAGAACATGATTCTTAAACAACAGAGAATCACCCCAGGGAAGGCAAACGCCAGATGTAAATTCAGAATAGCGACAGATCTACCTAGTGGCAGGCAAAGCTCAGAACTTAGCTGGCACATCCGTGTACTTCACAGGGCAAAGGGCCAGTATTTCTAGGGCAGTATAAACAGTGGTTGCTGGCACGGCCAAAAATTGCAAATTAGTCTATTCAGTGTGAAGGTTCAATGGTCTAAAGACTTTGGCTATATTCTGGCTTGAAGCCCCGGTAGAAATGGCATTGACCCATGTTTGGCAGAGGAGACCAATGCACCTCCAATGTATTGCTGCCTGTACTCAGCGGAGCTGCCTTTCCCTCTCACCACTTCAAAAGTTGTCCCTGCTCACAGTAGTCTTTCCAGGTCCTGCTCTCTCTCAAACTCTGTTTATGCTTGGCCCCTCTCTTATTAGCTTTGAAGTTTATTTACCTCCTTCTGTTTATTTAGCTCCTTCAGTGAGCTTTTACAGATGCTGAACATAAATTTGGAAACTTAGGACGCTGAATAACTCTTTGCGTCTTCCAGTTTAACATGGTTTTGCATTATTTATTGCCCAAAAGCCACTGGCTATTCTTATCTCATTTTTTTATTTCAGGTCCCATTAACTCAGTGTCAAATATTCCATAAACTTGTAAATTCAAGCAGTGGCAGGATCAAACCATAATTTAAAAGTAATGTGCACAGATAATGTAGTACCAAGGACAAAACGATTCACAGCTTTCACTTTTACATTAACCGTTTCCATCTGAGTATTGTCTTCAGCGACTGAAGCTTCAGGCATGAAGCCTCAGCCTAATGTGCAAATGGTTAATGATGACTACAGTTACGCACAAAATCTCCTACGTTTCTCTAAGCCACAAAAGCTCACTTTCAGCAAGAATAAAAGAAGAAAACCAACAGCATTCACAATCTAAAACGATTCTCATTGTGTAATGGTCAATTTATATCACTCTAATTTAGCTTTCAAAAGAGGAGACAGTCCACAGACCAGCCACAATTGCTCATATCTAAGCTAACCGTATTGTAAAGCTTTCCCTCCCCAGATCAGGAACAACTTGAAAATAAGCAATGCTTTCTGCTCTTGACCTATGATACAGTCTGTGTCATCACAACCAGGTAGGATCCACTAAACTTAGCAATGAAAATTTCTTTGACATTTTCTTAAAAATCTTTGGTGGCCCAGACTCCTCAAGATACAGACAGACTTCCCCAGGTACCTGAATACAATACTCATCTCTCTGTATGATTAAAAGCATTTTCCCTAACTAACGTGCTGCAGTTGAGGTTACAGCAGAAAATAGTTTACCAGATGCTTAAGATGTCAAAGTAGTCAGAGTAACAAAAAACCCAGAAAACTTCTTCCCAGAATATATGCTTTCCCATCCCTATTGTCAGACTGCATCTTCTAAGGCAGTATTCAAAGTGCCACGGGCAGACTATTCCTTCTTCCAATAATAAAAATATGAGGAACACCTTGAAACTGTAAGTGTTCTAACTTAATAGCATTTCTTTGATCTAATATAACTCTCAACCTCTGATAGACTGTGTAAGTGGTTTAAAAACTGTATTTGACATGGTTTGGGGAGATAAGGAATAAGAGTAAATGGTTACTTTATCTTTGAAACCATGAGTGATGATGATTGGCATTCTGAGCTCATCTCTGCAAGAATAAAGTTTTTCAACAACTCTGCAGTGGGATTAGGGTATTAGTCTGCAAACAAGTATTTTCCTGACCCATTTGCAAATGTTGATAGTTCATACGTTATTTGACACCAATGAAAGTATAAAAGGGCTTTTATTAAATGAGATACAATTGCTGTTTTACAGAGAAAGCAGGGATATTACTTTCCTTTCTAAGATAGGGTAACTGCACAAACATTAGTCATTCCAGTACAAATATCACCTAGGAGTATGATAGCTAATATGGCAATGCAAGTTACCATCTTCACTTAAAAGCCATTCTGCGTACTACAGAGAGAGAATAACAGCAAAAAATGGGTCAACAAACAGCAGAATAGGGGGGGTTCTGATCTTTGGCACAGCACGCTGCAGAGAAGGGAGCTCAGACAGAAGGGGTTTATATAAACTAAGGTTACAGCGTTCTAGATGTATTTACAGCCTGTGACTCCAGTTCTGATATAAAAGAAAGTCCTTAGCCATTTGTACAGAGTCACTGATGTCACTGGGACTACTTTTGTGCTTAAAATTGCACTTTCCTTTAAGTGAGGAAATATATAGCATATTTTTAATTGATCTTGAATTCCAAATAAACACTTGGAATGTAGGATGCTTGGAGATCACAGAAGAGGCTTCTTACAAGGATGTATGATGAAGCTAATTGGGTCTGGTATGAATAATGTATTTGAATTCCAAGCCAAATGTAACTGGCATGTTGAGGGAAACAACAGAATCTATCAGAACTAATATCTGGAGAGCCATCTCTCTGAGTGTTCAACACGATCATATATCCTTGAAGTTTTGAAGAAGCATATGGAAGGCACTGGGCTTTTTGCAGGGAATACATGTACAAATAATTTTACAAATAGCTTTACATCTCAGCCTCCACTAGCCTGGAAGTACCCCATTTCCAAGGGCTATTGCAAGAAGAGGGAATACTTCTGCAGCAAAGTAAATTGCAGAAGTTAACAAAGAAATTTTGTTGTAGAAACCATCAGAAACATTGAATATTCCAGGAAAACAAAACAAAAACATGAGCTGCAAGAATTTTCTATTTAAAAAGCCTCCAAAACTAACAGAGAGAACTCACCTTCCTGAAACACAACTTCATAGGATGCATTCATCACACACTCCACAAAGTAAATAAATATGATACATTTTCTACTTTGCAAACTTATCAAATGGACTATTCTAGTAAGTTTTTTTTTAATCTCGAGTTGGATAAAAACACTAAGGGAATCTGTGTCTGAGAGTCATCTTCCACAACATATACAAATCTGTAACAGCAAAGCCACAATGCAGGAAAATGTACTGAAGTGAAAATTTCCAGCATTTAAATATGGGTAGTGTTCCCTCTTT